TTAATATTCCTTGTTAGGAAAAGAATTTAGCGATATCTTCCCTACTTGCATGTTCATTTATAGGCTCTCTGCAAGAAGAAATATATGGCTGTATTCTGCCCGACCCTGCAGGCAGTCAGACCTTATGGTTGTCTTCCCTTGTTCCCTGAAAATCGCTGTTACTCTGTTCTTTTTCAAGGTGCACTAATTTCATATTGTTCAAACACACATGTTTTACAATCAATTTGTACATTTAACACAATAGTGGTCCTGAGGTGACATACATTCTCAGCTTACAAAGATAACAGGATTAAGAGATTAAAGTAAAGACAGGCATAAGAAATTATAAAAGTATTAATTTGGGGAACTGATAAATGTCCATATTAAAATGAAATCTTCACAATTTACGTTCAGAGATTGAAGTAAAGACAGGCGTAAGAAATTATAAAAGTATTATTTGGGTACTGATATATGTCCATATTAAAATGAAATATTTACAATTTATGTTCCTCTGCTGCGGCTCCAGCCAATCCCTCCATTCGGGGTCCCTGACTTCCTGCAATAGTACTGCGTTTCTCATGAGACGATATGTGTAAAGTGTTTGGAACAGAATTGAGCACATTGTAGGTATCAGCTCTTGGAGTGATGAAATCTCATAAGAGAAGATGATCAAAGACTATGATTGTCTTGAAGAATCTCCTAGACCAGGGATCAGCAGATTACAGCCTACAGGCCAAATACAGCTCTTTGCTTTTTTTTGTAAATAAAGTTTTATTGGAACACAGCCACACCCATTCATGTACACGTCGTGTATGGCTATGTTCATGCTACATCAACAGAGCTGAATATCTGTGACACAGATCACATGACACACAAAGGGGGAAATATTTACTATCTGGCCCTTTACAGAAAAAGTTTGCCAGCCTTTGTTCTAGAAGGTAACAACTGTGAGGGGTCTGAAAGCCTAGCAATCCATCCATGCTAGAGAAGTGGGAAAGGTTTGGAAAATGTTCTTCTAGTCAACATTTTGTCAGCCCCTGGCATGGGCCTGGCCCACCGACAGAAACTGGTACAGAGGCAGTGAGGCCTGACCCCTGCCCTCCAAGAGTTCATGGTGTAGTGGAGGAATAAGTGAACAGACCCATCACAGTCCAGCAGGTAAGTGCTAAAACAGATGAGAGGAAGGGGCTGAGCAGGGGCTGCTCCCCTTGTCAAGGTTAGTCAGAGAGAACTGAGACAAGTCAGGCTCACAGATGAGGAGAAATATGCTAGGGCAGTGACAGGGAGCAGGAAGAGCCTGTGTAAGTCAGGGTCATGAATAGGCTGCCCTGGTGTGAATGTCCAGGACCTCAAGTGGCCACACAGACTGTGCAGTGGAGGGCAGTCAGCAGGCAGCAGGTGCAGAGATGCCCTCCTTGTGTTTCATGCTAGGAAATGAGACTCCAAGAAATGTTCTGTAAAGCAGGAGTGTGGAGTGTGAGAGATGGGTAGGAGATCCCAGCCTGAGCAAATGATCCCGTGATGATGCCATTAGCCAACAGGGAACATTCTGGATAGGAAACCCAGAAAGGGCAAGTAATCCCCACTCACTATTGACAAATCTCATCTCCTCTTTACTAACTCACTCCAAATGCTGCTTGCTACAGGCTCACATCCCATCTCACCTAGAACTTCCTACAGGCTCACGTCCCACCTCACCTAGACCTTGCTATGGGCTCACATCCCACCTCACCTAGACCTTGCTACAGGGCCACATCCCACCTCACCTAGAACTTCCTACAGGCCCACATCCCGCCTCACCTAGACCTTGCTACAGGCCCACATCCCGCCTCACCTAGACCTTGCTAGCACAGGCTCATCCCGCCTCACCTAGACCTTGCTACGGAGCTCACATCCTACCTCACCCTGAACCTTTTCTGAGCCCCACATCCCCACCTCCACCTGGAGCCTTTTCCGAGGCTCACTTCCACCCCTCCACCTGGGCCCAACACGCTGCTGGGCTCACACATCCCACCTCCCACCTAGACCTTGCTACACAGGTCCACATCCCCTCACCTAGACACTACAGGCTCATGCCGCCTCACCTAGACAACACTTTACAGAGCTCATCCCACTTCACCTGGAGCCTTGCTGCAGGTCCACATCCTCCTGGGCCTTGCGCTACGGGCTCACATGCCGCCTCACGTAGAACCTTGCTACAGGCATCCGCCTCCACCTAGACCTTACTAAGGCTCCCATCACTCACCTGGGCCTTTGCCATGGGCTCATCCCCTCCCACCTAGACCTTACTGCAATTCACATCCCACCTCCCTAGACCTTGCTACTTAAGAAGCTCATTCTGCCTCACCTGAGACCTTCACTGCAGGTCCCGTCCACCCTCACCCCTGGCCTTGCTATGAATACATCCGCCTCACCTGGGCCTTGCTACAGGCCGCCCACCTCACCTGAACCTTTACAGGTCCACCACCTCATCTAGACCTTGCTACAGGCCCACATCCGCCTCACCTAGACCTTGCTACAGGCTCACTCCACCTCACCTAGACCTTACTACAGTCACATCACCTCACCTAGACCTTGCACTACAAGTTGGGCTCCCCACCAGTTTCAACTCTCCCTCAATGCTCTCATTCCTAGATCGAAAATCTCATGTCATGCCTTTGCCTTGCTTCCATAACTCCCCGTTGACTTTAGGACAAAGCCCAAAATTCTCAGTCACCTAGACCTTGCTACAGGCTCACATCCCACCTCACCTAGACCTTACTACAGTCACACATCCCACCTCACCTAGACCTTGCTACAAGTTGGGCTCCTGGATTTCAACTCTCCCTCAATGCTCCTGTTCCTAGATCGAAAATCTCATGTCATGCCTTTGCTGCCAACGCTTCCATAACTCCCCGTTGACTTTAGGACAAAGCCCAAAATTCTCAGCATTACCAGCAGCCTCTCATAATCTGACTCCTCCTATTTCTCTCATGTCGCCACGCTCCACCTCCCCCGCGCTTAAACAACTACACAGTAGTTAGACCTCTCTGGACAAATCACCCTGTTCCACGCCCCTGCCCTTCCCTCTGCCTGGGTTGCTTTCCCTTCCATATCCATTGGTTGAATTCCAGTTCGTCTTCCAAACTCAGCCTGGGTTTCATTTCCTCCTGGAAGCCGCCTTTAACCTTTCTCCCAGTCAAAAGCAATCACTTCCTTCCTCTTCTGTGCCTATCTGTAGACCCACTGATGTGCTCAGATACTATTATCCAGAGATGCATCTTTCTGTGACTCTCAGGCACTTCAGAGGGGCCCTGCATAGACACTACCCAGGCTTATGAATGAGGGCAGTGTCAACTTGCCTCTGGGATACCTGAAAAAGCACCTTGCAGTAACGCTTTGCAGGGTCCCTGGCAGGATGTGGGTGCTGGACTGTTTGGTTTGGATGGAGGAAACCTGCAGAAGGTGTCAGCCACAACTAGGAAAAAATATCCACGAAAATTATATACTCCTTGAGTTGTAGAACAGAAAGCAAAGGAGCAACTTCATTCTCCCTGTTGGGGGAATGAAGATCATCATCAGATTGAAACCAGACTGAAACAGACAAAAAGAGATACAGACTAGACATCAGGAGTGGGTGCCTGTGTGTGTCTTGTTGTTATGAATAGCACCATCCCCCACCCATCCAATTGCACAAGCCAGAAACCTGCAACTTATCCTAGATCTTTCCCTCCCCTCAGCGCCACATGCATCCTGTTGCAAAGTCCTAAATATCACGAGGAACTGCCCTCTTCTCCGTCCACACTGCTACTCTTCCATCGTTCATCTGCACTACCACAAAAGCCTGCAACCATCTTCACCACCAGCCTCACTCCTGCCAATCAGTTCCACATATACTGCCACACTGACATTTTCTCGAACACCTATGTGTCCCTGTCACCCACTATTTAAAACTCTACTGCTCCTCCCCTGGGATAAATTCTAATTTTGGAAGGTAGATGTATGAGACTTTTTAAACCAAGCTCCAGGGAAACTTTTCAAATTCTAGACCTTCCCAAGTCACCTCCTTGCACTGAAGGCCCGGTCACATTATCCCCCAGAGCCAGGCAGCTAGCAGGTATGTTCAGTTTGTAGATCTGCTAGCAACAGACACTGAATAATTTGTTCTGGAATGTTCCATCTCTGCCATAACTCAGGCCCTGTGCACCTGACTCCTTCCTAGAGCATCCCCCTCCCTCCCTTTCCAAGCATCCCCCTTTGGCCTGACAGGGTCATCAGTAGCCTTCAGAATTTCCTCAGACACCCCCATGTCCAGTAGTGCCTGCCCCTGACTCCAGCTGGGTGAGCCATAGGCTCCTCTTCGCTCCCCCAGCCCCCTGTAGCATCCATCGCACCCCAGTGCTGTGGTTATCAGTTTGCATTTCTATCTCCCCTTCTTACCAAGGGCAGGGACCATGTCGTGCTCACTGTGGAAACCCACTGCCCAGCCTGGCATATGGTGAGTGCTTAGTAAATATTTGTGGAAGGCAGGATTAAAACAAGAGGGAGGAATCTTGTTGAAATCTCTTTCTGAGAACATTCATTTATTCAACAAATAAACAAATGAAAAGGATGGAGAAAAGCGGGCAGAGGAGACGATGAGAGAAACTTCTGCAGGTCCCTGGGGGCAAGAGAGCTGAGATTCCACATGTGGCCTGAAAAATTGCCAACAAGCCAGTGGGGATTTCTATGCATTAAGGCGTGAAGAAAGAGTCTAATCATCTCGCTGTTGGCCAGATGTGCCCGGTTGCTGTGACAGCCATCGGAATTGGCCAGATGTGCCATGAACATCTTCAGAAACATCAGGGGGCCCTGGAGACCGCATGGCCTAGAGAGAATAGTTCACTCATTCAAGTGGCACAGAAATGGTCAGTTTGTGTAGGATGGTGTCACCAGTGACTCTGAGCATTGGGACATAACACAGAAAATCCTTCCTCCCCTCAAGGCTTTGGAAGCCTTCCTCACAACCCCTACCCGCTCCTAACCCTGTGCTCCCTCCCCAGGTGATCAAGCTTGCCTTTGAGGAGTTTGATTTGGAGAGGGGCTATGACACCCTGACGGTCGGGGATGGTGGTCAGGATGGGGACCAGAAGACAGTTCTCTACATGTAAGTGCAGTGGGGCGTGTTGTTTGGAAGGTGGAACGGTGGCTGGGGTTGGTGAGGTGGGGTTTGTGGAGTCCTGCCTGGTCCCTAGACCATGCTACAGCAAAGACAGTATCCTGCAGTGTTCCTAGTTTCAGCAATAATCCCTCCACCTCTCTCTATTCTGACCAAGGGGAAAAGAGCACTGGGCACCTTCTCACTGAATTCATATGAAATGTGAACAGAATGAGCAGTCTGTTAGGGGGCAGGGGAGATGGAGGTTTTGTGGATGAACCTGGAGCCTTCCACTGGCTGGCTGCTTCCATGCAGACCCTGGTTCTGCCACCCTGACAGTTTTTACTCCAGGCCACATCCAGCCATGGCAGCCTGACCCCAGACAGAGATAATGCAAATGAGTTGCTGATCTTTCTGTGTGCTCAGAACTCCCTGGGAAATGGATGGTTTCAGAGAATCAGGACCATATAGACATAGTGGCCATACTTCCTGAGCTGAAAAAGACCAGTATGACGTGTTACAGACAAGGGAGAGGAGAATATCAAGCTGTCATGAGATTCCACTGTGTTGAGCCTGTGCTCTTTGGGACCATTTAGCTTCTCTTTTGCCCACCACCAATAGCCTGACTTGAAAACCAGGAAAAAGGCCAAGCGTGGTGGTGCACTGATGTAATCCCAGCACTTTGGGAGGCCAAGGTGAACAGATTGCTTGAGCTCAGGAGGTCGAAATCAGCCTAGGCAACATGGTGAAAACCCATCTCTACAAAAAATACAAAAATTAGCTGGATGTGATGGTGCACGCCTGTAGTCCCAGCTACTCAGGAGGCTGAGGCAGGAGGATAGCTTAAGCCTGGGTGGTTGAGGCTGCAGTGAGCTGAGAGCATTGCATTACACTCTAGCCTGGGTGACAGAGTGAGATCCTGTCTAAAAACAGAAAAAAAAAAAAAAAAGTCAGGAAATGCTTCTGTTCAGGGCATGTGGCTTAGCTTCAGAGACAAACAGGCCTGACCACATCCATCTCCCTTCCAAGAAGGAGGTGGAGGGTCACCAACATTAAACACCTACCATGCTCCCAGGCACTGGGATGGAAACTTTTGCATCAGTTATCTCACTTAAGCCCTGGTGTTATTATTCTTGTTTAACAGATGGGGAGACTAAGGCCCAAAGGTTTCAGAGAAGGTTGATAGCAGAACCAGCACTCAAGTTCATTCTTTTGATTTCAGCCAAGGACAATGTCCCATGCCACACTCCCAACAAGGCTAGCTCCAGGATATCTCTTTCCGGTTCTAATGCTGAATGAGAAATGGCCATTTAGTAACAGCTGGCTTGACCAGAGGCTGTTCTTTTCTGGGTGTTTCTCGCAACTTCCCTGCACCTACCTGGAGATGATGCTATACAGGCAGTTACATGACTCATCTTATCCAATGGTACCCAGTGAATCAGGTGACATGGCTGGGACCTGGGATTTCTCCAGACAAAGGAATGGAACGTGAGCCCACAGGGCATTCTGCCCCATGCCTAATTCACTGTATTAGTGAGGGTTCTCCAGAGAAACAGAACAATAGGAGATAGAGATAGATAGATAGATAGATAGATAGATAGATAGATAGATAGATAGATTTTTTTTTTTTTTTTTTTTTTTTTGTCCTTTTAAAATTTTACCCAACACTTTAAAATTGTTTGGTCCGGGTGCCTGGAGCCAGTAAGTGAATACTGAAGCAGATTTCCTCTGCACAGCATTTTATGAAGAAAATCTACATTTAATTAAATTATTTCCATGATGTACCTATTTAATGGGAAAGGACACTTCCAGCCACATGGGGTGAGGGTGGAGAAGCAGACTTACAAATCATTTTAAGTTGTTGACTAGGGAGGGCTCTTTCTGGGCAATTGCTGCAATCCTTGTCTCCAATATCTTGAACCTGAAGGTGAGGTCAGGGAAGTCGCTGACATCTGAGAATTTTCTAAGAAACAATTAGATTCAACTCTCAGAAGGCCTCCAGCCTTGGTCAGTGTGTGGAGACTGTGACTCCATATTGTCACTTTAAGCATGCCTTGCAAGAGATCCCACCAGCCTGGGTTTCTAAAGATAGCACTCTCTGCAGAGCACCCTTAGAGTGTGCAGAGCGGTGTTCACACATTTGTAGGGCCTTGGTGGGCTTCAGGTAGTGCTGAGGGAGTCCAGAAAGGCTGAAGGGAACCCTATCCTGATCCAGGTAGGAAGAGAACCAGGGAACATAAATTGCAACAAGGAGAACAAGGAGGGCCCAAGGGGAAACTACAAAGTCTAAGACTGAGGAATAGAGTTTTAGTTCTCTGCTGGGGAAACAGCAAGGACAATGGATGCTGTGTTCCTAACCCTGTTCGTGGAACTGGCCCACAGGTGAAATGCAGGTGTGTCCAAGGACTGCCTATCCACTCACCTTCAGATGTCTCCTTCAACAAAAAGCACAGTCTCTAAGCTCACAGTATGTCTTATGAGACGAGCATTCATTCATTCAGCTGACTGTAGATATGGGCCTCTGCTCTTGAGGAATGTGCATATAAGAGTGAAGAACAAGTCTGTAAATAAAAATAAAAACTAGAGTGCAGATAAGTGCTGATGGAGGCATGTCCAGAGCGCTATGGGAAAACTCAAGAAGAGCTACAACTGGGAGATAAGGGAAGCTTTCTACAAAGGAAAATGACATGTCAGCAGGGTCTTAAGGCTTAAATCAGAATCTCAGGGAGACATGCATGTGCAAAGGCACTGAGTTTGGAACAGCCCTAGAAGTAATTCCAGCTTGCCTGGGATGCAGGTAAGGGACAGAAAGGCAAGCAGAATTCAGTTCATGGTGAGCCCACATGCTTGGCCCAGGTTTGGGTTTTATCTCAAACACAGATTGCTAAGGCTAACAGGTTAGGCTGTTGTTAACACAAATAATAATAGCTCTTATTGTATGCCTGTCCCATGACAAGCACTAAGCTAATTTCTATATGAATTATTTCCGTTTCATTCTCTTAATAGACAAATGAATTTGATTTTAATGGAACTATTCGATAGATAAAGAAACTGAATCATGGAAAGGTTAAAGGTTAGAAGCAGCTGCAAAGGTAGAGCCAGTAAGTGGCAGAACTGGGATTTAAACCTCGTCTTTCTAGATCCAAAGCCCATGCACTTACATAGCTGGGCTGTGCTACAGGATGGAACAAGGTCTCAGCAGATGAAAGGGGCTGGACTTGACTCAATGGAATGAGTGTGGAAGGATTTTGAGGGTTTCAATTTACTTCCTGCATTAAAGCAATAGCAGGAAGATTCGAGTTTTTGAAAATGTCGTAGCAGCAATGAGAAGTTTAGAGGTGGATACTGAAGGAGCAAGACTCAGTTAGAGGATGAAGCAGTTACCCAAGTAGGAAAAAATGGGGCATCTATCAAGGCTTTGGAAATGTGGAGGGGAAAACAGATGAGAGAGATTTAGGAGATAGAGTGGGACTTGCAGCATTGGATGTGGGAGCTAAGGGAGGAAGAGAGGTCTTATTCAATATTGTATCCCAGGTGACCAGCATGGTTCCAGGCACATAGTAGGTACTCGGTCTATATTTATTCCATGAACAGATGAATGATGACTTAGTGTGCTTTCTGACTTGGTCCAGTGAGATAAAAAGGAAATACAAATGAGGAAGATGCCTTGCAGGGCCAGGAGGGAAACAGTGCATTTGAATGTCTGTGGTTCAATCAGTGTCAATATTTGATATATCAAGGAAACTCTGATAAATCTGGGCTTAAGAGAGAGGTTTGGGTGTTATCTCAGCACGTGGTGAGAATAGGAAGCTCTAAGGAATGGATGAGCATTTTGGAAAGACTAAAGAGAATAAGAAAATTCAGATTGGGGCTGAGAATACCATCGTGACAGGAGAAAGAGCAAAATCCAGTGAAAGAACAGAGAAGGAGCAGTCTGAGAGGCGGAAGGAGAATCAGGATGCAAACACAGGAAGAGTTTCCAACTAGGGCATGTCTGATCATGGCAACGATGACAAATGTCTTGCTGGAAAAGAAGGAGACATTGGCTTTGGCCTTGAAGAAGACTTTGCAGTGAAGCTCTAGGCAGCAACAGACAGCAGTGGGGTGGGAAGTGAAGGGATGGAGGTGAGGCTGTGGAGGACAGGATGGGCAGTAGCTCAAGTAGGACGGGATAGAGAGAAAGTTTGGAGTTACTAGCATCTGCTTAAAATATTGAACTGGAGTATGTCTGTAGGCTAGGAAAATAAGCAAAGAGGGCGAGAGTGAAGATATAGGAGAAGAGGGATGGTGACAGAAGGGAGATTCTGGAGTGGGAGGGCCGGGATTAAGAATGCAAGGCTCTCTTTATAAGGAGTAGGGGAGAAAGATGCTGTTGTGAGAAGGGGCTGAAAGGTTTGTTTGTGGGACTGTAAGAGGGACATGTGCCCCTTTGGTCTCCTCGTAGTCATGGAATGATTTTGATGCATCCCTGGCACCTGCACAGGAGGATCCTTCCTATAATTCCCTCTCCCTTGTAGGACCTCTGCTACCTGGGCATGGCAAGGCTAGAATGTCTCAGGACTGGGCCTCCAAGGGCAATGAGAAGGCCCAAAGAGAAGCAGGGATGTCGTGGTGTGGGAATGCCAAGAACCTAAGTACTGCACACCAGCATTAATTGAGTACCATGGACTGTGCACCTCTGCACTGTGGGAACAGAACTTACAGTCTTATTGGAGAGGCAAGTTAAGGATATGTCTGTACTCAATAAACTGAGAGTAAGACAAATAAAGACACTCCCCAATCCATCTTCCTCCTGGAAACTTCATAGATTCAAGGAACAGAGCAGAAGGCTCAGAGCAAGATGCAGGTCTGCTCCATAAGTGCAGTCTCCATGTTCTCCCTTCCCGACTGATGTCTTGACAATGCTAACCTTGCCTTGGACATTTGGGTTATCTCAGTCCTTATAATATTAATCTAACACACTAACATCTACCTACAATAATTTTTCCTAAATTTCATCAGAAATGCCT